AATTTAAATAAGTCAATGCTAAGTTAAGTATGAACATATGTGTGAAAGTTCGATTTAAGCTCGAACCAAACATGAGTAACTCGTAGCATAACCAAGCCAAGTTTAATCCACGATGTACTTGGCACGACTTGCCTAGATTACAGCCCTAATGATAGATGACTTCAAGGAAGGGCTAACCTAATTAAAAAGGTTTATTGCAAGATAATTTGAGGTAATATAGATTGTTGATCAACTTCAAAATAGAAATGCTTGGATTTAAGCTAAGAAAATACTCTAATAGACCCAACAAAGAAAATTATAACCATCACTAACAGCACGCTATTGAGAAAGGCAGGTATCAACGTCTTATAGGCAAACTCATCTAGCTCTCTCTAGCTTGTCCAAATATTAGGATCCATATTAGTATTGCACATCAATGCTAAACAGCCCCACTAAGGGCCACATGAAAATTATTAATCACATTCTAAGGTATCTGAAAATGACACTAAAAAAGGGCCAACTATATAAAAAGCTATCCAACAAGGATATTAAAATTTTCAAAAATGTTGATTGGGCTACCAAAGATCCACCTATTGTTATAATGTATAAATGTATGGGGAAATTTAGCTACATTGTGAAGTAAAAAAAATAATACTTGGTATCAATAAGTAACATTGAAGTTGAATATAGGATAGTGGCACTTGATATTTACCAAAGAATGTGGTTACTTATACACAGAGATAGACCACATTAAATTATATTCCAAAAAACTCACAAACTGCAAATATTCCTAGCAAAATTTTACCCAAAATAAATTTTGATAAACTTATCAACAAATTGGGCATTATCAATATATACAATCCAACTTGAGAGAGAGTGTTGAAATAATCTTGAGTGTAAGGCATCATGACCAGCAACTTTTCATCTACAACAAGCTAGCAAATTTGTGGACAATAGTTTTCCATCTACAGTAATCCAACAATCTGTAGATAACACCATTCCATCTAAACCGAGCTAACAAGTTGTAGATAATAGCTTTCTATCTTAAAAAATCCATGAAAAGCGGCATTCCAATTATGTTGTACAGGTAACTCTAGATTATATAACAAAGACTAATTTATACATTTGTTTCTTTACTTGATAGTTATTTCCCTACCTATGTGATCTTCTCATTTTATTTTTTACAACACCAAAAACAACATCAAGCCTTTATCCCACTATGTGGGGTTGCCTACAATGAATCTTTTTTCTCCATTGTGTCATGTTAAGAGTCAATTTCTCATTTAAATCTAAAAAAATAGGTCATTTCTAATACTTTCTAACCAAGTCTTTTTAGGTATATTATACAACTTTTAACATAGGCCAAATCTAATACATCTACTCTCCCAACTAGGTCATCAGAAGGCTAATGTCTTATATGACCAAACCATCTAAGGCGACTCTCTTTAATCTTATCTGCCACTGGACCTAATCTAACCTTTTTACATATATACTTGTTTCGCATTCTATCTCTAAGAGTAAAGCCCATCCACCTGAGCATCCTTATCTCTGCAACAATTAACTTAGGTGTTGTTTGGTTGCCTGCAAAGTAAACACAATGTAAAGTAAATATAGTGTAAAGTAAATGTAGTGCATTTTAAATACTTTGAGGCTGTTTGGTTGTCTGCAAAGTAAACGCAGGAAAAATGTTTCCCTTGTTTGGTTAGATATATCCAGAGTAAAGTAAAAATAGTGCATTTGTAAATTTTTTTGTCATTATAACTTATGTATTTATAAAAGTAATCACCGATTGTTGAAACTTCGTTTGGGCTAGCTTCTTCTTGCTTTCTAAAATAGCTTTTCAGTACAAAGAAAAATAATAAATCAAAATTTGTTAGGCAGGTCGAACCCGCCATGGGACACTGCCCCCTTGGACCCTGACATATTTGCCAACAGTTACTTATAAATTTGCCCCCATGAAAATTATGGCTGATTCCACCCGTGATTTCGATTGAAGAAAGGCGGAGGAAATGAAATGAAATCCTTGTAATTTAAAATTTTATTATTAATCTGCAACCATTTATTTAAGTATTACAACTCTTTTCTCATTACCTTCCACTCAACCTCCTCACATTAAAAAACAACATTAATTTCATGAGCTCTCCTCTCACAAAAATTCAAAATGAGATTGTCAGCTTGGGAACTAAAGCTGCTGTTTCGCATGTAAAATGAAAAATTTGCAAGTCCAGAAGGACAAACATGAGCAAGAAGCATCTCTCCCGACAAAAAAGATAACAATATTGAAGGTGCAATGCAATTCATTTTAACTACTGTAGATTGAAAGCTAACAGTGTCTAATATGAAGAATGTGTCACGCTGATCTGAATAATCACTAATGCAAGTTTTAACATTCATTGAAAACAACAATAAAATTATTATGTTTTATTTAAGCAATCTCGGAAGTTGAGTTGAACCTCATCAGGTGGAGCCTCATTTGCAGCCTATTCATGCTTAAGATAAATCTCTAAGTTCACATGCAAAAAGCAAGCATCATTTTAACAACTGTATATTAAAAATTCAATGTGCATGGTATACTATATGGTCTGTTCTATGGTTCTTTCACATACAATAATTCAATTAATATAAATAGAATAATACTCAAAGCAACAAAAATAAAAAAACAAAAGTGAAACAATAAAAATTAGATGGATTTATGATCCGACAACATTTCAGAAATGCTTTTTCCTTCCCTACGAATTTCCTACTCAACCTTTTCGGTTCAGCAAACGAGCTAATAAATTAACAAAAAACAATAACTGAGAATTTGTTTGGAGATTTCAGGCTGTATGAATATATGAACCTGGAAGAAGATGACAGAGTCACAGAAGTTTCAGAAGGGGCGTCGAGGACGAAGCCGCCCTTCAGAAAAGACTAAGGGCCGCCGACGCACCAACCAACGTCTAGGATGTGATGCTCGGTACGTGCTTTGATGAGATCGACGACGAGTTCATCATGTGCTCGAGTGGCGTCGCATTGGGAGCGGTTTGGGACGGAAGGCTGGTACCTTTTCCGATGACTTGACGGTGTCTTTCGGCCGGCGGAAGAAAGACCAGTAATGTTTATATTTGTCCTGGACTTTGTCTTTAGTGATCGATCCCATCTTGAGATCTACTGCTCGTTTTCCTTTCACCTCCGCGGAGTCCATCACCCATATAAACCAGTACAAAACTCTGGTATTGAATACCGTCGTCGTTGCAAGAAGCGCAGCCGTATCCATCGTCAGAATGCAGAAGAAATGGAGATGGAGAAGTGGCGAGCGAGCGAGAGAAGAAATGGAGAGGTTGAGTCGGCATAGCGCTCGAATAACTCTCGCAGGTTCCGTCGACGCCAATCGCTGGTTGCGGCTTCTCTTCTCCCTGACTCATCTCACCTTCGCCAGCGAGCTACGCGACGAGTGAGTGGTTGTCGCGGCCGAGAGGATTTCGAACTCGCTCAATTTGAGCGGGTTTCGAAGTCGTGCGAATGGCCGCTCGAAATACACGATTAATACTTCGGAGGAATTACTAAAGTTTCGCTCAAAACAAACCAAACGAACTAATTTATTAAATGCAGGTAAATAAATTACTTTGCACTCTTAATTCTGCATACCAAACAGCCCCTTAATTGTATGTTGCTCTTTCAAAAGCCAACATTCTGCGCTATAAAGCATTGTAGGTCTCACACTCTCACCATCATCTTATAAAATTTTCACTTGAGGGGTACTTTTCTATCACACAATAGGCCCAATGCATTCCTCCTCTTCAACCATCCAACTTGAATTCTACTAATAATATCCCCATCTATTTCACCATCACTCTGAGCAATAGACCCGAGATATCTAAAACATATACTCCTATTAATGACTTGACTTGATCGTCCAAAGTCACAATCCCCTCATTAGATCTATTACTGCTAAAATTACACTCCATGTATTCAGTTTTAGATCTACTCGGACGAAAACCTTTAAACTCTAAGATTGACCTCCATAATACAAGTTTATCTTCAACTCCCTCTCTAGTATTATTATCAACAAGAAGAATATCATCAGCAAAAAACATACACCATGGCAAATCCTATCGCAAATGTCTAGTAAGAACATCTAAGACTAAAAGCAAAAAGATAAGGGCTTAAAGTTGATCCTTGGTATTTTATTTTTTACACATAACAAAAAAATAAAATTCAATTATACAATCTCTCATTTATTACTCTCCTATCTTCTCATTATAATTTTCAAAATAACAATAAATATGAAATGTTACACACAAACTGAGAGCTACGGCCTTGAAACAATAGCCAATAATTCTAAATTTAATCCCCAGAACATTTGCTTTTAAGGAGTCAACAAAATCCATTAAGAGAAAGGTAGCCAGTTAAAGTGGCAGAACAAAAATCCATGCATCAATATGACCTGAGATCCGTTCCATCTCAAACCACCCACCTTATACAATACTGAACTGTCAACCCACAAAGATAAAGAAGCACCCACTTCCGAACCATTCCAAAACATAAAGGGCTAAAGTCAAATAAGGATCTATAACACTTTTGAACAAAGAAATCACTTCTCACTTTTCAGCCTACGCATCAAGCCTAGTTGAACCCACTTCCATTTCTCATACAGAACCGATCAACCCCATAGTCAACCAAACAGAATAAAAGTTCTCTCTATTTTGGGATCGACCAACACCACACAAACCCACCTCTCCACCGTAAGGAAATTCTCCATGCTGATTTCCTGACTTATACCCAACTATATGTAGAGCAAAGTTGATAGGCAACCTATTTTTCTTTTCATGTAAAGACAGCCTTTGTTGTTGTATCAGAGAATGGAGAACATATATGATTTTCATCTGTGCAGCAAAGCCTTATTAATGTGTATCTTCTAAACTAAAAGTTGAAACCAAGAATGAAGAAATTTCCGAAAGGAATATACTTAATTCTGCAGAGAAAAATCAGAGCATAATTATGAAAATGAAAATTTCAGATTCACTGAAAAATGTTCTTACATCTAGTTCTTCAAGCACTTGCTGGCAAAGTAACTTGTTGGCCATAGATAAAGCAGCACCAAAATCTGCTAGCCTTCCATATGTAAATTCTCCAATGTACTAGGAATGCCAAGAAGACTTTTTGTTAGGTACAGCAGCTGAATCACTACTTTATCTAGTGAAACAGACAATTAACTAAGCATGGATCTAGATAAAACACAAGAATCACTTATATACCATTAAGAAGATATTTCTTTCACTACAAACGAAATAGATTCCAAAGAGATTGAAAGTGCAGGAAGAAAGTCTTAAAGTCAAAGTCACAACAAAATACCAAAATTTTGGAAACGAACATTGCTTTTTTTGTATACATTTTTCCTCCACAAAAACAGTCAAAAAGCCATCGAAATGAAGTTGATTAAATAACAACTTTATTAATGGCATTCATTTCCTATTTTGATGTAATCAAGATTTTCGGCAAACTTGTCAGCATCTGCTATGTTCAAGTAAAATAGCAATCAACCAAGTACATTGCATTTGACAACACTATGATCTGAACAACATTGAACTAGAAAACCTGAAAAAATACAGTATTAGAGAGTAAAAAGCAGTACAATTACAGATATGCAACATACCCGAGAATATGTTTTGGCGTATTCTCTCCAAACTGAACTTATCTTCAAAACATCTCTTAATGTTGAAATAACTTCGAAATAGGTTGCTTTTATCACATCATCATCTTTGTTATAGGGCAATTCCTGCAACATAACAAGCTTCATTGATAAGACGACGATGACGACGAGGATGACGACAAAAACAACAACAAGCCTTTATCCCACTATGTGGGGTTGGCTACATGAATCATTTTTCTCCATTGTATCTTATTAGAGTTAAATTCTCATTTTAATCTAATAAAGAAATGTTATCATTAACACTTTCTAACCAAGTCTTTTTAGGTCTACCTCTACCTTTCTTCATCTCTACAACAACAACAACAATATCAAGCCCTTATCCAACTAAATGGGGTCGGTCACATGAATTTTTTTTCTCCATTATCTTTTTAAGAGTCAAATCCTCATTTAAATCTAATAAAAATTGTCATTTCTAATATTTTCTAACTAAGTCTTTTTAGGTCTGCCTCTATCTTTCTTAATACAAGCCAATCTAATACATATACTCTCCTAACTTGGTCATCAGAAAGCTGATGTTTTATGTGACCAAATCATCTAAGATGACTCTCTCTAATCTTATTTGCCGCTGGAGTTACTCCAACCTTTTCACGTATATGCTCGTTTTGCATTATCTCTAAGAGTAAAGGCACTCATCCACTTGAGCATCCTCATCTCTACAACACTTAACTTAGTTTTATGCTTCTCTTTCAATTGCTAACATTTTGCACCATAAAGCATTGCAGATCTCACCACCATCTTATAAAATTTTCCCTTAGGTTTGAGTGGTACTTTTCTATCACACGACAAGTTGATGCATTCCTCCACTTCAAAAACCCATGGACAGAAGCTTCATTGATGAGAGAAGTTCAGAAATTAAAATAATACATGGACAATATTCATCAAGTATCATTCACAAAATATGGAACAACCAAAATGGTGAATTGAAAACATATTATCCCAAACATAAACTAGGTGAGACAAGGAAAAAATCAACAAAAAAGATATTACAAATGCATTTAAAGAAAGAACCAAGATCCTATGTTAATATGCGGAGAACTTACGTCAAGCTGAGAAGGGAAAGCAATGAATATAATATGCATGAAGAAGATCACAATGCATGCATGAAGAGGATGAAAAAATGAAGAATATCTGGAATATAATATGCATGAAGAAGATCACAACGCATGCATGAAGAGGATCATTCAAGTTATCGTTAATATAAATATATTTCATATAAACAGTATCTTCTACACAAGACAGAACCCGTTGCAGAATCCTCTACGCAAGAGAGAGATAGATCAATCTAACAAACATCTTAAAAAGAAATGATTAGTCAACTTAAACTCAGAGAACTGAAACAGAAACCATTTTCACTGGAAATTATAAAGGAAAAAAAACAGAGAGGTATATATTGGCAGGCAGAGAGGGTGAGAGAAACAGGGGAGTAAGGAGAAGGGCGGAGTGGCAACGCAATGGATAATAAAAGGAGAGTTGTATGCCTTTAGGTGATCAACTTTAACTGTAAGAGGTTCTTCATCAACCTGCATATGATAAGCATGTCAGTAAAAAGATAAAAAAATGATGAAATAAAAATAAACAGAAATCACCAAGCTTCTTGAAATACAAACCATCTCCGTTTTTCGTAGACGACGGTGACCAAGGAGATAAACCTCATTTCCTTGGATGCTACTTATCTATATAAGAAGAACAACACAATGAGTTAGCTAATGAATAAATGACTGTTACACAAGTCAGTTATCCTTTCCCTTCAGATAAAAACGAGATACAAGCTATGTTCACATATGACAAAATTTTTTTACTGCATCAGAAAGAAAAAAGTTTTTTGTTTTTTTTTTTTGGTGGGGGAGAGGGGAGTGAGAGAGAAAAGAGAGAACCTGAGCCAGGGTACCAATGTCATGTAGGCGGTTAAACAATTCTTGACCCTTGAATTCATAGATGCTTTTCCCAGTTTCTGTACCAGACACCAGACTAGGGTCAGTTCCAGGCTCATCCTTGAAAAGAAAAGCACCGGCATATGTAACTGATCTTTTACAGTTGTCCGCCAAAGCTGACAGAAGTTTAGAATCCTAGCCAAAAGAACAAATAGAGAAATTACAAACTGAACTCAATGAAGTATTGAAGCAAGCACAAATAAAACCTGCACTATGTGGTCAAAATGATTAGCAAACTAAAAGGAAAATAGATAGGGTTCATACTAGCTTAAGAGGGAGGCTCAGTTGGTATTACCCTTGAAAGAAGTTGGTATTACCCATATTTTATAGTGTGGTGCGGCGATCAACTCCCACCCATGTTGGGTGATTAAGAAAAAAAGAAGGGAAATTTTACAAACCATAAACTTTAATAACTATTGCAAAAATGTAATAAGAATCGCTTCTTTATTTCACAGTTTAATTTTCAAGGAGGTTTAAAACGGACATGTCACAATGTTGTTAGCCAGGAATATTTTTCATATATTCTTAATAGAAAATAAGAAAAACATAAAATTACTTGGACTAGAGAATCCTTCCTGTAATCGAGAAAATATGGTCTAATTGCAAGGTCTTACTTTTCTAGGTTGATATGCTATTTACAGAGGAGAATTTTATATGAAAATTAGACTGCACTGCACACTAAATCTATGAAAAAATCTAACTTGTTAATAAAAAAATTATAGACATATTAAAGCATGAGTTCAATCTTTGTAAACCATAAAGGTTAGAGAAGTCTTCAGAGGTATGAATCCTACGATCAGAAGGTTGAAGCAACTTTAATATTAAAACAAATATGGGATGTTAAATTAGATTATCACATTGAGGAATCTTCATTATTAAGGACAAATGGCACATAACTCAAAAGCATTTACTGTACCGGCATGGCACACAGCACATTCTAGGCATAATATGATCGCATAATGATTTTGCGTTAAGGATATCAAACTTAACAACAAGAGCAAATAGCAGTGAACTTTTGAAAAGATGCACTGAGCAGGTTTCAAACACCTATGAATCAAGACCCGCATCATCGAAGTGAGTAGATATAACCTCTCAAACTGTGAAAAATGACTCAACCCTAAAAAATGACCAAAATCACAAAATGGTGACTCTCTATAGGTAGCAATTGTATACTCATACATGTTTCTATATGTAACTCTCTGATACCAAACAACTTCCAACCAAGAGGCCCAGCTAAAGCGATCATGTCACCTAAGAGGGGAACTCACTTGAAGGGAACAAAACCACAAAGCAAGCTGGCTAGTACCAGTTTGTAGCTCCATGGTCACTCTCCCTCAAAGGGATCATAACATGAAGATTTGTTTTGCTAGGCCAAATGAAGGGGTGATCGTCCTCGGCAAGCCCCATTAGAGGACTTATTCTTACCAATCCGAGCCTTGTAGACCACTTGCCTCAATAGGGATTGCTCATCCATCACAACTATCCATAGTCAAGGCCTCACCCCTCGCGCCTAAAGGTTCGAATAATACCTCTATGGACTCACCCTGACATCTAAAGAACTCACCGTCACAGACTCACCCAAGACACTAACTAGCCCTCAAAGACTTATCCAGGGCACTCGCCTTGGTGGAGAAAACCACATCATAGATAGGGATTCACTTAGACATCGATCAACTAGGCCACATTTGTATAATGGAAGATATGTTATTTTCTATTTCTTTCGAGGTGTACCATTCATTGTAGCTCTTTGAGCCTTATAATAAAGGATGAAGATGTATATTTTGGATATTTTGATTTCATATACATTTTATAGAGCACTTTTCTGACTCTTCATACTCACTTAGATCCACAGACAAATTTACAGCTTTTGATTTCATCCACAGATAAATTTAGATCCAACAGCAATGATTATTGATAACACAAATCTATATTAGGTTCATGCTAAAGTGTCAATAATACTAACATTATGATTTCAATCATCACATCCTCTCTCATGAACAAAATAAACTTATGCATGGCAAGAAAACTTTTATATATATTCATATTTGATATTAATACTGTAATCATTTAACATCTTTTGCTACCACTCTCTTCTATATTGTTATTGTATGGCATTTAAATCGATACAACACAAATATACAAAAATCTTGCTTCACAAAATAATAAAACAGCACACATCAGAAAATATATATGATAAAGTTGCTAGATATATGCATCAGAAAGGTTTAGCAAAGACAAAATTTTCACCTAAATAGATGTTAATAAATATGAAATATGTTTCATGTATGAATTAATGTTTTTGATACTTTGCAAAATATACAAGAAAAAAAATGGACATGCCTTGATGGAGACTGGCATGTAAAATCCAGGGAAAAGAGGCCGATGTGGGAGTGGCACGACCATAACCTGCTAACACCAAGAAAAAAGAAGCTGATCAGCACAAAATAAACCTTTAAAAAAGTGATTATATAATAGAAATATTAATATAAGGTCAAGCTATTTTATGTGAGTACTAAAATTCTAAACCTATAATTGATAAAGGTTTTCCAGTATAGTTAAACGGTCTTTATTTCAATTCTATGAATTTGATGTTTAAGAAAAAATGACTATACAATGAATCAGCATATTGTAGTTTTCAAGAAAAATCAACAACGGTAAGTATTTATATATAGACCAATAATCAATTATAATAATATATTTCATCAAGCCTTCCAAGTAAAGGGATCTGCAGTAGTTTAAGCACAACAACTCTAATTTTTCTGACTACAACCAATGCATTCCAATGGAAATCTTTTGTTCAAGAAACAAAAACTTCATATAATTGCTACGGGGTTTGTGATACAAGCAAACTGCTTCTTTATAGATTCAAAACTAAAAATAATCCCAAAGTATAAACTAAACTCAAAAAAATTTAGCTTGAATCAAAGCTAGCATTATTTCACAAGGCCATATGGTATCTCCAAGCAGACAAATTTTAAAAAATTACTACACGTAGACCAATACAATCACAACAAACCACTCAACAATTCATATCTTTCAAGCAAAGCCGTCGGAGTAGAATCTCCACGGGAACTTCCCTAAAAGCAGTGCACTAGCATTCTTGAACAAGACACAGACCTCAAATAGAGGTTAACAATAACCAATTCCAAATAGAATCCGATGTCCAAAAGGAAAAAACGCCCAAAACATTCTGGTTAAATATATCACTTAAGCACAAAAGAATGATACGAACGTTCAGGTGATCCTCTGGCCGGGGAATCGTAGGCACTATGGCTGAAGATGCCTTGGCCTCCTCCGCCTCCGCTCCGGTAGACGCGTACTCCGCTTCCTCCACCGCCTTAGCATCCACCGACTTAGCCGCGTCGCCATCCCCCTCCCCAGAATCCGAGCTGAATGAAGCGGTCAGCCGAAAAAGAGTTTTTTCGCCAGTATAACTCCTTAAAGAACGAATAACTCGAAACAAGGGGCTCTTCTCGAGCGCCCCGTTGGCAGCGCCGTCAGGGAACCTACTGCATGGAAACCCCGATCTCCCTTGACGGCAGGAAGTAGACAGTAATTTAAGCATTGGAGACCGAGAACGATCTGCAGGGTAAAAGCTGCAATGATGCAATCTTTATCTCCCTTCCACCTTGATTTGTAATTCAGCCAAGTTTTTGCGGGGCTTAGAAACTAAGTTAATTTCTTGAAGCTTACCAGCCGAAAAGGCGAAAAACCCCTACAAAACCCTAGACAACGAGGGAAAGACGATACAGATGCATTATGAGAAATCTTGGAGCTTAAGAATGAAGTAAATTACGAACTCCTCCAACCAGCTTACATAAATTACTTCCATGTCCTTTATTTTAAATTTTTAATACACATCAAAATATTGTTTTTTTATGTAAAACAAATTATTATTTTAAATCTTTAAATGCAAGGGAGGCTAACCAAAGCAAGAAGAAATGAGTTTTAAAAAATTTAAAATGAATCCATGATTTTAAAATTTATTAAGTTGTTTGGATAAGTGGATATCGTATAGAAAATACTACTTATATTGTATTGAAACATTTAGATATTTATATTGTTTTTAATGACTCAATATGACTATAAATAAGGATTCTCTTTTTTTTTAGAAATTATAAGAGTTCTTTATAATCATATTTCCAAGGCTTTTAAAACCGGATCGGACCGGCCGGCCGGCCGGTTACGGTTCTCTTGAGAGTCGGTTTCGCGTCAAACCGGCCTCAGATCGGTCGAACCGACGTTCCGACCGTTGAACCGGCAAATCGACGCCTGTTTTGGATAACCGGAGGGTTCGCAATTAGCTTAATTTGTGCCGTTGGATCTGATCCTACGGTAAGGATTAGACAACGCTTATACGAAAACGAAAAAAAAGCCCTACTATTCACATATTCGCAAGTTCGTTCAACTTCCTTCTTCCCGTCTGTTCCCCGAACCAGTCGCCTCTTTCGTGAAAGCTTCCCTCTCTCGTGTTGTTTTCCATCTTCTCCAACCCACAGTGAGTTCTACACACGCTTCTCCTTCTCCTCGTTTCTACTTTCTACTATTTCACGAAGCCGACCGCCGACCTGTTTTCCATCTCCTACTTTCTACTAGGAGATTTAATCTTTAGTCATATTGATTTGAATATTTGATTCTATTTCCCTTGTATGAAACAACAAATGTGATAAACAATTTTTATGCTACCAGTTTCAATTTTTATGCTGCCAGTTATGTTTTGTGATGTGTTGTTTTTGGATTAATTTAAATGAAATGCTCACTCTCAACCCGCATTTAAATAGAAGCAGTTATGTTTTGTGATGTGCTCAAGCTTTTGGATTAATTTAGGTTACTTGAATTTTTCTTTTTTTCCTACAGTAAAATATCTATATGCGTAATAGTTTTGATCTTTTTTCATATCTTTCAATGCCTTCTCAGGAAGCTGTTGAGTGGAAGTACAAGAGCAAGATCCCTGGTAAATGTTGAGAGTGAGCATTTCATTTTGAAGGCTCGTGAACATCATCTAAAGGTAGTTTTATTTTCTTAAATGTTTTGTAAGCATGAATGGTATTATCCTTTTTCCTTGATTGATTGGCCGAAAATATCTAGCAAGTCAATCTCAGTTAGTTGGGATAAACATGATGATCTAAGATAACCATTGTTACAATTTATTTATTTTTCAAGTTGATTGGATGCCATTGCCTACATCAACTAAAAAACTTAAATGCAAATAGAATTTGAGGAGACATAGGTCAAAAATATTACTATGGATCTTATTCCAATGCTCTGCTTGCTGAGTCTTCTCTTTCCAATAAAAAAAAAAGATTATAATGTTATATCATGTTTCCTTGCTCAAACCTTTTTCAATATTCTTATTTCTTAAAGCAAACGTTCCTGATTTGTTCAAAGGATTTTATTTGAGTAATTTTCATTGTGATCCTTAAAAATATTTTCAATAGAAAACTTTTACTTCACACTGCATTTTTTAGTTTGCATTTCTTTTCATCAAACAAAAGAGCTTTTTTTTTAGTATTATAGTTAAAATGCATATTCAATTTGAAATCATCTTAAATATATTCCAGGTTTTGAACATGCTTTCTTTGAAATAATATAAAATTGCTACTACGACGAATTGAGGTATGCATTGTTTTCTACCTTGCATAGTTTTCAACTTTATTATTTTTTTTACTTAATAGTTTTCTACTTTGTAGTTTTCTACGTTGCATGGTTTTAATTTATTTATATGTGATTTTATTTAGTAAATCAAATTAGAATGGAAGCACCTAGTAATCAGACTTCAAAATCAACTTATACTGTGCGTGAGAAAATAGATATTGCTTAGAACCATTTTGCTGAAGTTAAAGGACCTGATGGGAAGAAACAATTTAAGTGTATACATTGTGGTATTTCATACAAGGGAGGAGGAATTAATAGAATGAAACAGCATTTAGCAGATGTAAAGAGGAATATAGCTACTTGTAAAAAGGTTCCACATGATGTTAGATATCAAATGAATGAAAACTTGAAGAAAATTTTAAGAAAAAACAACAAGCACAGGAAGACTTGGACAGTACACCATTTCCTGTAGATGATGCTATAAATGAAGAGAGAGATTCTTGCTAGCTACCAAAAACACAATATTCTCATGCAAATGTTTCATAACTTAGTAAGGGAAAAAGAAAAGCTTCTGATATAGATACCTTCTTTGCTCCTAGAACTACACGAGGTGCCCAACCTTCAATTAAGAGTGCTTTAGCATCTAAGGAAGTAGTGCACCGTGCAGATATGGCTTTAGCAAGGTGGTTTTTTTATTGTTGTATTCCTTTTAATGCTCTTACTTCAGTATATGCACAGAAAGCTGTTGACGCTATTGCTGTAATAGGTCTTGTTACAAGCTCCCCAATTATCATAACATGAGAGTTAACTTACTTAGGAATTGCAAGGAAGAATGCATACTACTCATTGATAGTTATAGATAAACTTGGAAGGAAACAGGTTGTACACTTATGACAGATGGATGGACTGATAGTAGGAGCAGAACTTTAATCAAATTTTTAATATATTGTCCACGTGGTCTAGCTTTTTTAAAATCAGTAGATGCTTCAGACATCACAAAGGATGCTACCACTTTGTGCTCTTTATTTACTGATGTTGTTGAGTGAGTTGGTCCATAGAGTGTTGTTCAAATAGTTACTGATAATGCAGCTAATTACAAAAAGACAGGTGAACTATTACATAAAATATTCAACAATATTTACTGGTTTCCTTGTGCCGCCCATTGTATGAATTTAATTTTGAAAGATATTGGCAGTATGCCTCTTATAAAGGACCTAGCAAAAAAACATCAAAGTTGACAATTTTTTGTTATAATCACATATTCATACTTGCATGGCTTAGGAAAAGACCAGGTTGGAAGGAAATCGTACGTCCTGAAGCAACCCATTTTGCAACAACATTTATAACTTTGAAAAGTGTGCATAAGCATCATCATGACCTACAAGCACTAATCACAAGCAAGTTCTTTGTGGATTCAAAGATATCCAAAACTTCTAAGGGAAAGGAGGTAGTTTCAATTATTTTAGACTTGAAGTTTTGGGATAACTGTCTCATTATTTCAAAGATATCAGGCCCTTTGATTAGATTGTTGCGTATTGTTGACTCTGATGAAAAACCATATCTTGGATATCTATATGATGGCATGTATAGAGCAAGAAAGGCAATTAAAGCAATGTTCAGAAACGTAAATAGATCATATAAGCCTTTTACTACATAATAAAAAGAAGATGAGATACTCAATTAAGACAAGGCATCCATGCAGCAGCATATTTTCTCAATCCTCATTTTCCATATAATAGAGAGAACTATTGTCAAAAGCCAAGAATTTTACAAGGTTTAGTTGAATTAATTGGAAATAAAGACATTTGCTCTAAGTCAACTGTTGCAATTAATGAAGTCAGATTATTTCGTGATGGCTTAGAAAGCTTTGGAAAACCAATTGCACTGATAATGGCGAAAGAAATGCAATATGGTTATTCACTTTTTTACTTTTAACATGTGTATATACTAATACAAATATGCTCATCACTAAACTCTCAAACTTGATAATATGTAGATGAGTGGCTGAAGATGTTTGGATCAAGTGCTCCAAACTTGCAGAAAGTTGCTATAAGAATTCTCAGCCAAACATCATCTTCATCAGGATGTGAAAGAAATTGGAGTATTTTTTAACAGATCCACTCAAAGAGGCAGAATTATTTGGAGCATCAACGACTCAACAATCTTGTATATGTTCGATATAATTTGAATTTAAAGAATAGGTATGATCTAACATTAAATTTATGTACAAGTGTCAATTTAAGTAGTATGTATAATCTTAACATAAAATTATTTATTCATTTTTTAGATTTCAACTGTAAAAAAGGCATTATGATCCTCTGGACTACACTTATGTTGAAATGGTTGATTTTTGGATACTTGAAGATGTATCAACTCCAGAACTTGACTTACAGGATTTGAAAAATGAGATATACAAAGATGATGCAATACCAGTTGTTGAAGAACAAAATATATAATTTGATCAGTCAGGACATTATAAGTTGACAATGAAATTTGAATATATTATTTAATTGAAAGCAAAAATAATATATTATTTTATATTTCTTATTTATTGGTGAAGGTGATTTAGAGAATGAAGGAGATGTAGGAGACATAACCGGGCTCGATCAATCGGATGCATTTGAGTTTGAATATTTTGGTGAAGCGAGACCTGGAGACTTAACTTATATAGATAGATTTGATGATGCTAATTTAGGAGATCTTTGAAACTATTGAATTGAGAAAGTGAAACTTTGATTTTAATTATGAATATGTTATGTTTTTGTTATCATTTGGTATAAAGTTATTTTGCATCTTTTTATGATTGGTTGTCTTCAAGTGAAAAATATTGTTATATTTTTCTTAATTATTACCAAATGCTATTATATTTGATTCATATATGGAACTTGTTTGATCTTACTATTCTATTATGTTTTTGGAACGGAAATAGATGTGATTATGCTTTTAGAAACTATTGGTTTAGCATTATCTATGGTAATATAGTTTTTATCCTTTAGATTTAAATGTTTGAATTTATTTGACTAACATTTCTCTATTAGATAAGTAAAAGTATTATAATTTTCTTCAATTTTTGCTATATATTTATAAATAGTTGTGTCATTATTATAATATTTAAATATAATAAATATTTATTACGTCATCCGGTTCGACCCCGGTCGAACCATCAAACCTCTAACCCCTCCTTATTCTGGTTCATTGGCCGGTCCGGTTTTAAAAGCCTTGCATATTTCAGCCATCCAATAATATGATCCTCTAGCGCAAGCAGGCGGGTAGCTGGCCGGGTAAAGCAGAAATTTTTTTTTTCTAGCGGCCTAATTCTGTTGGATAGTCGCCAGAATTATTTCTTGCCGGAAAAATTTTTCCTATGCGGGTTTTACGGGCAAAAATTTTTTCATCGAAAAATCGCCAGTAAATTCTAAATCCGCCGAAAAATTCCGCCAGTAATAGATGATTTTCCTGTAGTGTATTATCTTTGACAAATAGTTCATGTGACATTCTAGAGTAGATAGAACAAGCAATTTAACATTAACATACAAGTTATCTTAAGTTCTAAATCATTTAGTGCAAAGAAAAGCCAAGCATAATCCTCCAATATGTAAGATAACAATATTTTTAATGATCATCATGTAATCATGAGTTTATAATCGAATAAACATTGAAAATAATTAAAATAAAAGGAATATTCATTCTATAAACCTGCAATATACAAATTCACATTTTGCTCCAAGGTATTTTTGTAAAGTATATTATGTAGCATGTAAATTATGCATTTATCATTCTATATATAAATAATACTCATCAAGTAACCTTGTTCGGTGCTACATCTAATTTCAGTTCTAATATGTGTTATATGCCTGCAGATTTGTTGCAATGAATAATTATTTAAGCATGAATTTGATCTGTTAAAACAGGACTATATTACACAAATTTAAGAATGATCTAAGAACCACATGAACGAAAAATAATATTTTAAAACTCACAAATATTAATCTTTCTGAAACAAAACTTACAAAACATTTTTATATCTTAGTAGTTTTTTTTAAGGCGAAGAAGATGAATGACCTAAGAACTCCTAATCGGAGAAAGTAACATTCCGAACAAGTGGAATCTCTTGTTGCAAATCATGGCTGCCATAAGTATTACCATTTATGCAAAACATGTGAAGTTAGGATACCTACAAAAATATCAATGTCTCTCTAGTTGCTGACTTCCTCCTCAAGCTCATGAACCACAGCAGACGATGAAGAGAGGAGAAGCCCTAGCTCACGAACAATAACTCACGAGCAAAGAAAAAAAAAACTATTTGGCGGTTCATTCGCAAAACCAGAACAGTAACATTTTCCTCAAGAATACCAACATCACAACCCATTTCCTGCACCTCAGACATAGACACAGAAGGGACAACAGGGTTCACAGAGACAACAAGGTTCACAAAAATCTCAACAGGAGGTTTAACAGAGAGGGGCAAATCATCAGAAACCAGGACAACACCCTTTGAACGACAATTTCCCAATGAGAATCAATCAATTGTTCCAACATAATTCCTTCTTCTTCGCCTATGAGGATGAGACAATTTTTTGTATCTCATATTATATAGTTGATTATTGCAAAATATTTGTTTACTTTTCTATCGATTAGTTCGCTTCGCAAATCACATAGCAGGGAGAATGGTTGGTCCGCCTTCCCCCATACACACAAATTTGAGTGGTTTGACGAGTAATTGAGCCAAACATCGTCTCGTTAGAACTCGAGCTTGATAATCCAATGGGCTCAAAATTTTACTCGAGCTCGATACTCAATAAACTTATTACGCAAGCTCATTAATGAGTTAAGATGGAGCCAACTCGAGTTGATCGAGTTGGCTCCACTCATTTGCAAGGCTAGATAAAACCAAAATCCCAGCGAGCGGATTTAAGGACGCGTGGCAAGTAAATTGACATGTGTCTATTTCGACCTATGTAGAACATCGGAGACGGCGGCTACCAGCTCAAGTCGCCGTTCTCGTCACCGCTGGCCATTTATCTCCATCAGTCCATCCCCCTTAGGCCCTTCTCTTTTGTCGCCTCCTTCCTCTCTTCTTCCTTCCTAAGGAAAATCAATGGCTTTACCCACTAACAGATCCTGAAAGCCTACTCCCGTTTTCTATAAATTCCCTTCTTCTCTCATCTCTCCACCTCCCTCGCTCGCCCTCTCCGTCTCGTCTGCCATTTCGTAGATCAATTCCTGGATCGAATTTGTTTTCGTCTTCTTATCTGAGGGAAAACTCTGTTTCACGATCGTCCCATCTTCGGCAGTCAGTCCGATCTCTTGAAAATTCCAGTAACAAGCCATCTACGGCATTCATGAACACTAATTCCTTCTTCCGCAGAATCCACCTTCTCCAATCCTTCTCCGTTGTGTTTCTATACTATTTCTACGTCATCTGTTGACGTAACCCTAGCAATCATCTACAACATTTCCCAAATCTGATAGATGTCGATGGAGGAAGAAAATCGGTTTGACCTTGATCAGAGGAAGCGGAAACGGATGCTCTCGAACCGTGAATCGGCGAGGAGGTCACGGATGAGAAAGCAGAAGCATTTGAATGATCTCGTGAACCAGGTGGGCAAGCTCCGGGAGGATAACAGCCGGATCTCCGCACAGGTGAAGTTGAGGAGCGAGTGGTACGCTACTGTTGAGACCGAAAACAGGGTGATGAGGACCCAAGTGATGGAGCTCACGGAAAGGCTTCGGTACGTCAGCTCGCTGCTTAGGTTCGTACAGGCTGCGAGTGGCATGGTAATGGAGATCCCTGATCCCCTCCTCAAGCCATGGCAGGTCCCTTGCCCGTCGCAGTCTATTATGGCATCGGCCAATTTTTTCCAATGCTGAATCGGTTTGCTTGCTTATATTTATTTCTTTTCAGTTTTGGAGGCTTTGAAATCTTCAGAAAGACCTTTGAATCCTTGATTGATGTCAACTTTAGCTGTTGAAAATTGTTACTTTGACATTTCTTCGGTTGTTGAATCTCTCTCCTTCCTTTAATTTTTCTGTAGTTCGTGTTTTGCTCAGATGCTTCTATGGGCTTCTATGATGCTTTTGTTAGTTAATTATGTAATATGGAAAGAAGTTAGAACTACGATCAATCTGTTGTAATACTGGTGCTCTATGATTCGTCGAGGGAATCATAGAAGATGGTTTTTTATTTTATTTTAGCTAATTTTTCGAAAGAATCTTTTTTTTTTTTTGGACATTTAGGTCATTTAAGGCAAACTCAGACACACAACATCTATACATATACTCAAAACCCTAGAACTCTTGGTTGGAAGCTTTAGCTCTCAACCAATAGGTCAAGGAGAGCTGTGTAGAATCTTCTTTTCCAATGTAATATTTAATGAAGTTATGATAAACATAAATTAGAAGGATTAATTATTCTGTGGGGAGGCTGAACGTCATTCGAGGATCAATTAGAATGCGTCACTTCTCCTCTTTGCTTGGTACCGCTCAATCCCGTGGCTCAGTACCGCTGACGTAATTTGGGGCTGATTGGATGCAGCTAGGGTTTATCTTAATGGTATGTTTGAAAGCAAGATTTAAAAAGCATTTCATCAGTTTATATTTAAGCTCTTCAAACGTTAAAACTAAAAAAGTTAAAGTTAATAGTTAGTTATAGCTATTTGAAATGATTTGTTTTTTTAATGAAACTCATCTTGATCTGTTAATTGAAAGTTTTGACTATCAATAAAAATGTTTTGTATTTGAATCTTATGTATGTGATATGTGTATGAAATTATCCTGATTGGCTTAGATGTCCAAAAAAAAAAAAAAGATTTTAATTTTTAATAAGAGATTATCTGTTTGTCTCTAAAAGAAATGCAATGTTGTTATTAAGCTTGCATGAACTCTACATATGATATTGAGCTCATCGAACGGTAATGATGCGCCTTATTGTATTTATTTTTAGGCATAAAATAATTACTTAAATTAAAATTATTCTTCTTATACATTCTTTCTTTTTCTTAAAGATTAAAAAAAATGATAAGCTCTATTTTAGAGACCAAAAAATTTTGTTTGGTATTGTTATCTCCTTCAAAGATTGAAAAATTGAAAATTTGATTTCCGTGGAAAGATATAACCTACTTAGAGCATTTCCAATCGAAAATCTCATTTTTTCACTCCAAAATGCCGTGAAATTACAAAATGTCGCGATTCATCTCCAATCGAACTCCACTTTTCACTTTTGCAGGTAACGATTCTCTCTTTTTTTCCGCGCCAAGTTCGGTAGAGAGGTAAAAATGACGGAGATGAACAGTGCAACGCCAATATTTACATCCCACTGTTCACCCGCAGCCAAATAGCGAGAAATTTACGGTTCAACTGGAGCTGGCCATGGACGCCATTCAAGCTGTTGGAGTTCGGTTGGAGATACCCTTAACCCACCAACAGGAAGCACACACTGCAATTGCTTTACACCAATTTCTTTCAAAACTATTTTCATTATAAATTGCTCAATTTCAAGCGTTTAAAGCGAATTGCAAGCATTCCCAGGATAATTGCAATCACAATGGAGATTTAGACTTCATTTGAAATAATTTTATTATTATTTTTTAAAGAAAATTTTTAATATAAATTTTTTAATTTAATTAATTTTCATACTAAAAAATCATTTAAAAAAGTAATAAAAAAAGCGTCCGAAATAAAATCTTAGCCAGCAAACTCTTCTATCCATGTCTTGCACAGTACCAATCTCCTATTTAAGGGCCAACATAATTCAAATCCAATATTTTCTTACATCAATAGAACATGTGGAAGTTCATAATTCCTATTTTCAAACGCCATATATTTGAACTGTACATAATACATTAAAACAATGAAGTTTCCAACCAGATAGCTTCTGTAATGCAAATATAATATCAGAAAAATCCCCAGCCAACAGAAGCTTGAGTGTTCTCTGATGCATCTTCAATCTGCACTTGCTTGTTCAAGTCCTCAAATTGAACAAAATTGAATATATAATTAATGCCATTAATAATATCATAAAACATTAAGCCTATCCTTCCTCCAATCCAACTCCCTAAGTGACTTCCAGCAAAATAACCTAATCTTCCTAGCAACTGCTCACCATGAAAACCTCCAATGTAAGTACCAAATAATGTGCCACTTCCTCTAAGAAACCCTTCAGTCATGGTGCCACCATAATAAATGGCTTCAAAGAAGTCCCACCCTGACGATATAATTGGGCCGACGATCCGTTTAGTTTGGCGAGAGGCGACCTTCGCAGCCTTCGCTCCTACCTTTTTAGCTTGTTTTGCGGCGGCATTGGTGCTCAATCCCTCCTGCAATGCTTCATTGAGTGCAAACTCAGTGGCCCTTTGTCTTACATTCTCAACATGAACACTTCTGATGCTGTAGCTGTAAAGCTTGACACCTTCTTTAACTCCACAGGCTAGAGTGCCAGAACCCATGTCAAAGCAATTAAGAAATGTGAACTTTCCGCTCTTTGATGAAGATTGTTCCCCCATAAGTTCTCGGAACATTTCAGCTGTATTTAAAATTGATATGGGAGTTAGAGACATGAATAAATTGGCATGAAAGCAGGTTAGAAATGAAGACAACAACAGTTGGCTACCGCTAAAAATAAGTGCCAGGGAAGAAAAGTTAAAATGCCAATCGGAAGAGCAAACAGCAGGAAAACAGCAGAATTTCTGCTGTGGACAGCAGAAAACTGCACTCAAACTGAGAAAACAGTGGGAAAAACTGGAATAAAACCAAGCCAATACTTGTATTCCACTAGAAGAAGAATCAAAACAGCAAAGATACAATAGTTCTTCAATTCGAGAGGAAGAACAACTCTCCACAAGTCTCTAGCAAACCCTAGAGCCCAAGCACACAATGAGATCTCAAACTTTTCATTCAAATTCAAGATGAGGACCTAATTCTCCCTTTTCCCCCTCTTTAACTCTCATCCCCATACAAAATCCCTAAACAGCCCTTCTATTCAAATTTCCCCCCCTTTCCATTCAAATTTTCCCTCCAACCCTTGAATTAACTCCATGTGGGGCCCGCCTAGAGTAAGTAAGGATCGGAGGGGCCCGCCTAATACAGACATGAATAAATTGGCATGAAAGCAGGTTAGAAATGAAGTCAACAACAGTTAGCTACCGCTAAAAATAAGTGCCAGGGAAAATATTAGAGCTAGAAAAGTTAAAATGAAGAAAAATACATCATTGTCGATTACTCGTTATTATGAATGCTCTTTAGCATGAGAAATTATTCTATGCGGACACCGGACGGTCCGGAGACCAACCAGAATGCATCACTTCATCCGGTACATAGCGGTACCGAGCACCGGTACAGAGCAAAAAAGTGACGTGACGCGTTCTGGTTGGTGTCCGAATGCCGTCCGGTGTCCGCACAGAATAATTTTTCCTTTAGTATAGAGAGAGAAAGCAATATCAGTCTACATAAATTCTGCACCAATTTTAATAAATCAAATTTGGTTCAGATCAAATTATACGAGACAGCTTATTATATTAAAAGGATAAGATCAAAATAATCCAGTCAACTGTAATGGTCGAACCAAGTATGGAAAATATATTTGTTGCCAGGCACAACCACCAACAGGATTTAGAACAAATATGTTGATACAAGGTAAAAGAAGAGCCCAAAATCAAATGAATATAAAGCAAAAAAAGTAATTATTGGCTAGAGTCTTTTTGCCTTTTTCAACTGCATTTTGTGTTTGCAGTAAAACGTACACTATATTCTCTCCTACTTTAAAGATCTGTACAATATTTCTGAAAATTTTCTACTTGGCAAACCGTTATCTATATTCTCTTGCGCTGTGGCTAAGTAAAAGCTTATATGTGACACATGACTTGAGCTATGGCTTATAAATAAGCTTCTGAAAACTTTTGTTTACTGTTTGTAAACATATTATTAAGATTGCATTGATTCAAACCAATGGACCAGTTTGTAAAAATGACACTTAAAGCTATTGTAGTTTTTGTAACAAAGGCATACGAGTTTGATGTCCTTGTTTGCAGGTGTTAGATTAAGACTGCTCAATGATACTAGTTCTCCAAAATCTATTGTTTTTCAAGATTCCTTTTAACTCTTACGTAGAAGAAACTCTTTTAGAAGCCCAAGTGATATCAAAAGTAAACAAAAGCATCCTCTTAGGCCCATTGGCCTCCGCTACAACCTTGATAACGTCAATTCATAATATATTTTGACCCTATATCTTTGAAACCAAAGTTTTGTGCATAACATCTAATTATGAAGGCTATACATTGCTCCAATTAACACAAGTGGGTGGAAGCTATTAAGGTAACAAGGTGGGAAAGCGAACTTGATGAATCATTGGCAACATAAACATCAAAATTCTATTTGATATCTTAAAAATTGGTTCACTAATCCCTTACTCTCATTATCAACCAAATGGAAGAAACATCATCAACAACAACAACAACATCAAGCCTTTGTCCAACTATGTAGGGTCGGCTACATGAATCCTTTTTCTCCATTGTGTCTGGTTAAAAGTCAAATTCTCATTTAAATCTAATAAAAGAAAGATCATTTCTAATATTTTCTAACCAAGTCTTTTTAGGTCTACCTCTGCCTTTCTTAACATAAGTCGAATTTAATACCTCAGCTTTCCTAACCGAGTCATCGGAAGGCCTCCGTTTAATGTGACAAAACCATCTTAGGCAACTCTCTCTAAACTTAATCTTCCCATTTATATTGTCAGTAATCCAATATTCCATGAAAGAGCAAAACATATTGAAGTTGATTGTAACTTCATCTCAGATATTGTGTTAGCCAAAAAGATCACTAATTCGCATGTTCCCACTTTAAAGCAACTTTTTGATGTGTTTAACAAGGCTTTAGGACCTCTTCAGTTTGTTAAGCTTTATAACAAGTTAGAGCTTATCGATATATATATGCTCCAGCTTGTGGAGGAGTACTAAGGCAGAGCACTTTAGGAAACTATGCCATGGATGGTTACATGTATAACTTTAGTTTATGATTCTCGGGAACATTGCATTCATGCCTCTAGTTTTTATTGGAAGTTTCTCGACTAACACATAAATTCTCCTCCCTCCCAACAAAATTAAAATATCAACTTCATATATCAGTGAATTCGCCATATCAAGATTTGCCAACAGTTTAGCCAATTAACTTCCACCGAAACAGTAACTCATTTTTAAGATTCAAAACTCTAAAGACAACCCGACAAGGGCTCAATTGAATCAGAAAACTTTATCCTGAAGCCTGATACATTCCCATTGGAAAGAGCCAATAACTAACATAAAAAATCATTAAAATTCTAACTCATATCAAATATAGTACACCAATCGCAAGCCGATCAAAACAAAAGACCAAAGCACTGCTATCAAGCAATCGTGCAGATTCCGAATACGTGAAAATACCTAGAGAAAAGCTGAATGAAACTTTTTAAAAATCTAGCAAAGGAACAGATCCGGTACCTGTCATGCTAAGGCCAATTAAACCCACAACGAAGAGGGCAAGCTGAATCCGCCTTTTCTGAAGATCCAGCATCCTGAACAGATTCGGTTTCAATTACGTTTTCTCTTCCGGCTCCGGCGGCGTGGGTATGGGAGAATCGAAGAAGAGAGACAACTGATGACTGCGGCGAGAAGAAGTCAGCAATTGGAACACAAAGCCGGTGGTGTTCCCATGAGACAGAAGGAGAGAGCCCGGAATAGTCTTCTTCGTGGCCGCGGTGAGAGGAGATGCAGCCGCCTGGACAGCTTTGAAAGTTCAGCTCGTTTTCGCTTTAAAAGAGTAGATGTGACACAAATAATTATCATAATTAACTTTAAAATCCTTTAATCTATTTTGAGATAATAATAATTTATATTATACTCATTTTAAAATAATTTCAAATGATATAAAAGTTATTCTCATAAAAATTTTAATCAAAATATTATGAGATAATTTTTTATTTATTTTTAATACATATTTACTAATTTTATATATGAAAATAAGCAATGTTATTTTATTCATAATTGATTTTGTACTTTTTATCTACAATTAATCTTATATTTAACGAATATTTGAGATTTTTTTTTTCCTTTTAAAATGCTCCTTAACTCAATTTATCAGCTTTGGATTTTGATTCTCTTTAATTTTGTGGTAATTGATAAAGTTTAATTATATAACTCATTTTGTGAAATAATAAGTAGCTCAATAATTAGAATAAAAAATTATTTTTCAATAACACTAATTTAAATAAGTGATTTACTAACCATGATCGTGCTCGACAAAGTCAAGTATGACAGCGGACAGTTACTCATTATATGCGTGTGTTATGAATTTGTGCTTCATTCAAAAATAAATAAATTTAAATGTAAAAATTTAATATTTGAGAAGCAGAATAATTACATATATCATATAAAAAAATTTTGTAGCATGATTAAGACTTAAGAGCATAAAATTTAATTTTAGCCCTAATAGTAAAATTTGAAACATGCTTGGTATAGCTTTAATATTTTATAAAATTTATTATGAAATTATTATGAGAAAAGTAAAATTTTTAAAAGCTATTTTGATCCTTTGAATATTAGAAAAATTTTCTTTTAAAAAAAAAGTAAGACGGATAATTTTTCAAAGTTATCGCACATTAACAAATTCTTAACATAACTGAGGTGTTTGATTGAATTCTATGTCAAAAGATTTAAAATTACTAATTTGTCCTTCTATTGTCATCCACTGGGAGAAAAAAACAAATAATTTGGCTGTAAATTCATTGACCCCATTTTTGTCTCTTCAAACGCAACTTAATCAAAATTTACTAAAACAATGAAGAGTAGCATCCATCCATGAAAACAGCCAAAATTTCCATGCAATACAGCTCTAAACCTTTTTACTCACCAGCAATATATAAGGACTCGCCTCATAATACATATTCAATACAAGCGTACAATTTACAAACACCTATAGAATATATAAACATACAATTCCCCAACTAAGGGCATCTCCAATGGGTTTGCCGTTTTCCGTTCTTCCGTCGCTCCAACCGAGCGACAATTTTGCCGCTATTTCATCACGGGTGAACAGTGCGACGTCAATATTGGCATTGCAATGTTCACCCGCTAAATTTTTATGTGTCAACGGGATTTGCCCACGAAATGAAGAAACACAGTTAGAGACGACGAAGCCCGTGAAATGGAGTTCGATTGGAATAGAATTACAGCATTTTGAAATTTTACTATATTTTGCAGTGAAAATGTAGTTTTCGGTTGGAGATGCCCTAAGAATACCAATGGAAGCACACGAATCCGCAGCCATCCAATGACTTCATTGTTCTAGAAAAACTATTAGGTGCGAAGTGTGCACCGTCCGCACAAGGCATTGGAGGATGATTGGTACCGCTCGATACCGAGCAATACCGAGCACCAGCCAATGCTTGTTGCGGACGGTTCTCCCCGTCCGCACTCCGCACCTAATAATCTCTCATTGTTTTAAGTGTCATAAGTCAAACAAACATCACTAGAATCTACAACTGGTCACAACTCTAATGTTCTCTCTCTATATGCATCACACATATTAAAAACATTAGACCCTAGAAGCTCTCAAAACTCACAAAATCTAGTCTTTTTTATGTCATGTTTATGTTGAAAAAAAAAACTGAGTCGTAATATACTATGCAATAACCTAATGTAACATAAGAAATTGAACAAGGAAAATTTCAGATTTCAATCATAAACAAATTTAGTACACCACGTAAGGTAGAGGTATTATTTTTCATCAAATGACAATACTTAACCTAAGGAGCAAAAAATTTTCAACATGATGTGATGTGATTGGTAGTTCCTTGGACAGCTTTGTAACACTGCAGACTGCACAACGGAAGATTTGATCTCGAATCCCGATACTTATATGGATTTGTACATGATGGTCCCGCACATTTCTCTCTTGGTGGAGGATAGCTAGACAAAAAGATAATTTTCATTTATTTAAAGAAAATTAAGTATGAACAACACTAGCTACTATAAGATCGATCTGCATCTCCATAATTCCATCCTTAAGGGACCATTTGAGATCAATTATGTATGATCGATGGACTACTACACTTAGAGAAATGTGAGATTCTGGAATTAAATTGATCACATACGAATAGTTAAAGGATTATTTTGGGCTTTTTTCATATTCATAAAGTTTCATTGTAAGCAAATTTTTATTTTGAAATTCAAGAAAATTGAAGTTCTAGAGGGACAAGTCTCACCTGCATGGCTTGGAATCAAATATGCTGGGCAAGCCAACACTATCTGGGAATCTAACAACAGTACCAGTAGGTCCCATAATCCATCTGATGCTATTACCCTCTGATATTTGACAACTAGCAGCTTTGGCCTACAAACACAATAGGTTAGAAATTCCATTCCAGTTGAAGAAGAAGGAAATTAACATGTTTGCATGATACTTTTTCTGCTTGAGCTTTCTCCTTTTCAGCTTTCTTCTTGTCAGAATCCAATCCTAGTATTTTCCTAATTGCTGCAGCCTGCAGATTGGATGAATTTAAGAAAGTTATAAAAATCCAGAAATCTGGCAAATACATTTTTTATTTGGTTGGTCGCAAGAGTGAAAGGGGTATGGAGAAAGACCTCTGATTCTCTAGCAGCTTTCTCCACTTGCATTTTCCGTCTCTGAGCTGCTTCTGCCTTCTTAGCCTGCTCCTCCACCTCAGATAGCTTCTGCTTTTGTTCTGTACGAATAACATTAAGTAGCTAGAAAGAAATGTTAGCTTGGTCATAGTTCATGTGAGGAAACTTACTTCTTGGAGGAGCTGGAGGTAGCCCATCAGGAAACTCAATCAGGCTCGAGCCACCGCCATCTCTACCTGGATGCAGAGCTCTCTGTCGTGTCGTAAGAGGTTCCAATCGCACATCAGGAGATGAATCAGCAGTTAATTTCTTTTGCTTCTTCCTTTTCTCCTCAGGATTATCATCAGAAACAGGTTCATCCTCTTCAACATAGTCACTATCCTCAGAAAACCTGCCTGACCTGGACTTTTTCCTGCCATCTTTGGTCATTCTTGAAAAGTTGTAGTCTTCATCCACCGGATATGAAGTATTCCTAACTTTAGCTACCTTGGAAAGCTTCCTTTTCTTGGACCCATCTCTCTCATTTTCTGCAGTGTAATCAACAGAACCCTTAGAGGTTTTGAGCCTTTCAATATAACGGAGCTCATCATCTTCCTCGCCATCATCAAATTCACCATCCAAGACCCGCTTCTTTGGCACCCTCCTGCTCTTCCGAATGGGTTCAGAGAATAAACCTTGGTTTTGATCCCTTTGCATTCCAGATAAATTTCCTTCAGTAATTTTACTTCTATAAGAATTTGCTCCACTACCATCCTTCCAAGGATCTCCACGTGAACCATGATTCGCATCAGAATTGTCCTAATAGAAAGAAGCAAGTCATCTGCTAATGTAACATTTAAATACATGCATACATGCAGAACATCTAAAAAGGGTAGAATCCAGTTATTCCACAAAAACAAGGAAAAAAAAAAGATATATATATATATATGCTCAGGAAAACAAGGCATGAATACCATTCATGAGATCAGAAAGAATTACCTGAGACATGATCTTCGTTCGATGTCGAGATGCATCAGAAGAGCGCGAATATTTTATGGATGAAGATCCAATGTTGCCAGTTTCAATGTTGGATTTTGCAGGAATTGTGCGAGTGACGCCACCAACCTTGAGCTTCACTTTTTTCAGCTTGTTCTCAACTGAGGCGCTAGAAGATCCAGCTGACTGATGCAAGTTATGTCCATACTGTTCGGGAGAAAGTGACTGCATGTCAGGATTCTCCTTAAATTTGCTTAAGCCCTTCCAGTTACTGGGGGCAAGAACACCTTCACTGCTTCGCTTCACATCTGATCCACCCCGCCCATGATCTCTTAAACTGCTGCTTGCATAATGCGCATCAAATTCTCCATGTGTTCTATCATCTTTCTTTTTCTTCCTTGATGGAGCGGCATCATCAAATTTACTAAGAGAAGCAACCTTAGGAGGAGGGTAGTTGAGAAAAATTTCCTTCCTACGTGAGCTGCCATCATATCCTGAACTGTCATCAGGAGAGAACTTGTTTGTGTTATCAGAAGATGGTGTAGAAGAAAGTGATGATGGGTCACGACTCCCAAAATGCAATGGTGAGCCTTGCCGGGGTCTTCTTATCGAAGAACTCCTCCTCTTCTTAACCACAGAAGCAGTAGCCTGCCCTGATCCTGAAGCCCCTGCACCCTCCATCAACTTTCAATTGGTGCGGTGGACACACCTCCACTTGAGCCACCTGCAAATTTGCAAGAACATCAACAATTTTAGTTCAACAACAAAGAATAAGAGAACTAAAGGCACGAATAACTTCTATGAAAATTTTAATCAAGTAGTAGAATCAAAAGCAATGCCAATCTATAGTACAAATCAACTAAGAAAATTATAAATAAAAAATAATTTCACATATGTCATATAAGATCACATATCAAGCAATCCATGACACAATAAACCAAGTATTGGAAAGACCAGATATGCCAATCTAATTATAAGAAACAGAAACAAAGCTATTTCTGACTATACTATTGTGCTTCACAAATGTAATTAAAGGCATGGTTGCAGAAACATGCAAGAATTCCTTCATAATTTGCATCATGAATACGATTAAAATAACTGCATGAAATTGCTATAAGAAACCAAATAATAAATTAGAATTACTACACCAAAAAGGTTACAAGATAACCAAAGCATTTAAAATAATGCCATATAAAACGTTTACGCTTCAATAAGAAAATGAAAGTAGCAGCATAAGCATGCAAGCAAGCATCGTAGGCAATATGCAAGATAACATGATACGCTGAGTAGCAAGCAGCATAGCAATAAAAATTTAAAATATACAGCAGTTAAAAATCTACAACAACATCAAGCCTTTATCCCACTACGTGGGGTCGGCTACATGAATCTTTTTTCTCCATTTTGTCATTTTAAGAGTCAAAATCTCATTTAAATCGAATAAAGAAAAGTCATTTCTAATATTTTCTAACCCAATCTTTTTTAAGTCTACCTCTACTTTTCTTAACATAGGCTAAATCTAATACATCTACTCTCCTAACAGGATCATCGAAAGGCCGCTGTTTTACATGACCAAACCATATGAGGCAACTCTTTCTAATCTTATTTATCACTGGAGCTACTCATACATTTTCACTGATATGCTCGTTTTGTATCCTGTCTCTAAGAGTATATCCACTCATCCACCTGAACATCCTCATCTCAACAACACTTAGCTTAATAATATGTTTCTCTTTTAATGACCAACATTATGCACCATAAAGCATTACAGGCTGACCACCATCTTATAAAATTTTTCCTTAAGTTTGAGCGGTACTTTTCTATCACACAACAAACCCGAAGCATTCCTCCACTTCAACCATCCAACTTGAATTCTACTAATAATATCCACATCTATTTCATCATCACTCTGAATAGACCCAAGATACCTGAAATGAATACACTTCTTAATGACTCAATTGCTCAAAGTCACAATCCCCCTGCTAGACCTATTACTACTAAAATTACACTCTATATATTCGATTTTAGATCTACTCAAACGAAAACCTTTAAACTCTAAGGTTGACCTCCATAATTCGAGCTTACCTTCAACTCCATCTCTAGTCTTATCAACAATAAGAATATCATCAGCAAAAAGCATACACCAAGGTACATCCTCTTGCAAATGTCTAGTAAGAACATCCATGACTAAAGCAATAGATAAGGGCTTAAGGTGTGAAATAGGAAAATACTTGGTCAAAATACCTTGTGTTTGAACATAAGTAACAGCTCCTGCATACATATCCCTAATGACTTGAATATAAGCATTATGAACCCCTTTCTTTTCTAGAACTCTGATAGCACTTCTCTTGGAACTTTATCATACGCTTTCTCTAAATCAATAAATATCATATCCTCCTTATTGTCTCTAAACTTCTCCATTAACCCTCTCAATAAATGAATAGCTTCCATACTAGACCTACCCAGCATGAATCCAAGTTTATTTTGAGAAACATTAGTATCACGTCGTAACCTATGCTCCATAACTCTCTCCCAAAGTTTTAAAGTATGACACGTCAACTTAATTTCTCTATAATTCGCACAATCTTGTGCATCACCTTTATTCTTAAAAATAGGAATCAACAAACTCATTCTCCACTCATATATATGACATCTTTTTAGTCTTCAAAATAATATTAAAAAGTTTAATAAGCCAAGAAATTCCTTTATCTCCTAAGCATTTTCACACCTCTATTAGAAAGCTTACAAAAATATCTCATCCACCTTTGTTGAATATCCTCTTCTAAAAAAAGCATGTTTTGATCTCCATCCTTAATGCACTTCACTTGAACTAAATCCTTACTACTACTATCCTCTTGGTTTGGCTACAGTTAAAATCTAAAAAAAAAACTCAAACGAATAAAGATATTAACAATTGATAAATTAATATTTAAGTAAACATTTAAACTACTCAAGTAGGATTAGTAATATAAAAAGAAACCTTCATTTCAAATTTACATGTTTAAAAATTAGAGGTAGTTGACCAAATGTCCAAATCAAACTCCTATAATCATCTTCCTAGCAAATTATACATTCATCCTTAAATACAAAATGCCCTCGTATTGGCAGAGCCACTTCCATCACTGAATCATGAAAAGCACAAAGAAAACTTACTAAACACAATCAGTCAATCAAGGTGGAGCAGAAGTAAAGTGCTCAAATCACCATTCATGATCAGACTAGTGTTCGAAGCTAGGCACAAAAATAGGTGAATGGCTAAGCTGGTAAAGTGCAAGGGGTAAGGCCAGTGCAGTAGAGATGGATGTTGCATCAATGTTGGCTAGATCTTTCCTTTCCAAGAGATAGAGGGCAGAAGGGAGACTTGATTGATGCCAAACCACGTGAGAATAATTATTACTAGCCATAAAGGGGGATGTGACCACGACAATTATGGTGAAAGTTGGCATCAAATTGTCCAGTTCTTTCATTTTTTTAGGAGTACAGTGGGTTCCGGTAGGAGAGTAGAAGAGAGAGACAGAGAAAGCAATAGAGCTTGACTGAGACAGCGTGTGCATGTGGAGGGGGGGGCACGGGGGGAGAGAGAGAGTTGCTGTTGACCCACCCATTATAGGATGGTATATGGATGCAAATGCTGGAGACAACAAATATCATTACTAGTCTAGTAGAACAGCTGATGCAGAAGAAGACATGCAACAAAAAAATTTTAGAATTTATTTTCATTTTTAATTCAGCCCACTCTCCCTGAACGGTAAATTCAAGGAAAAAAACAAGAAATTTCAAAGCCAATTTAATATAAGAAAAAAGAAGATAAAAAAGGAGACCATCAACAAAGGTACCTTCAAAAGGAGTTCATCATTTTGGTATCAAAACATCTTTCTCTATCAGCTAGGCATGAGCAATCCATAAATCTAAGTTAGATGTCAGCCCATTTGTTTATTTTCAAAACCTGATGACGGTTAAATTAGTAGTGAGGAGATAATAGATCTAAAGCAAACCCACTAATAGATGAAAGAAAACAGTAAACGATACAAGTTTTTTCAATTCGAGAGGAAGAAACATATCTCCAAATCTCTAGCCAAGTCTAGAGCCCAAGAACCCAAACCCTAGATCTCAAATTACTTTTCAAATTCAAGATGAAACCCTCATTCTATCCCTAGCACCTAATTAAAACAAAAGGAGAAACAAAATCCTTAAACAGCCCCCCAATTCAAATTTCCCCCCTAAACACTTAATAATTCAAAATTTCCCCCTAAACTAATAATTCAAATTTCCCCCCTAAACACTTATTACATTACTTGTTTGGGCCCACTAGGCAAACCTCCCTCCCTCCCCCCCCAGTCCAGGTTGGACCGGCCTAACATAAATCAGTGGAGCAAGAGAAGGATTTAACATCGAAGAAGAGGCACTATAGCATAGTAAATTTAATGATGGAGAAGTCTGATCATGACTTGAGGCAGTGAAAAAGTAGCATAAGTGAATTTGAATTTCATTTGATTTGGACAAATTTGAAATGAAGAGAAAATGGGGGTTTTTAAGTATTATAAAGTCCTCAAATTTTACTTTTAACTCATTTTATCTTTGCCCCAAACATCCAAAAAATTTTAACTTGCAAACCTTTTAGTTTACACTCATAATACATGAAATCAAGCATCCATTGAGAATACCCTATCAATTGTCGAATTTAGTGAGGCTATAAAAAAGAAAAGGGCTACTTGCTTTAAGGTATTAGGTGCATACACTAAAAGGAATACATGTGATGTGAGTATTCAGGCATCCGGCATAAGATAAAACAAATGCAAAGTATTCTTCTAAATAATTTAGAATGCCTCTAAAGGCTCAGTTTTTGTGAATTTGAATTTTTTTGTATTTAGTGAATTACAAATTTATTGTTTAGCCTCGTCTCACGAAGCCATCGCCATGTTCACCTACCACATGACTTCATCTCAGGCATCCTTGCATCAAATGTTATAGATGTCCCAATGTTCACATTTATTGTCATCCCTACGTGATGAGGACATCGACGATCTACGACTACGATTGTGTGTATTTATTTTTGATATATTTTATGTATTAGATTTGTTTGTTATTTTTTCCTTTCTACCCTCACTTGAGGGCTTTGTCTTATGTATGCCCCATGGGAAATTGTATCTTTTTTTTTTAATTCCCTTCTTGTATGTGGCTACTTAAGCCTTTTCCCTTCTCTTGAGAGGGTAATGATGATAAGGAATGAAAATTACAGCTTTTGTTTACTAGATCTTTTTGTGAGTTCTTGAGAGGAGAAACCCTAGGAGAGGGCCAAGCATCACCCGTCAGCCGCCGGTGGATTCCGGGACTCGCGGTTTGTAACCTTCGCTATTTTATTCCTTTGTCTTTATTCCCCTCCTTTCCCTACTTCCACCTCCGGCCACCATCGCCAAGCCAACCAAAACCACCGATCACCCATACACCACCTTCCCTTTTTTCACCTCCACACCACCAAAACATCCCCCTCCCAATCCTTGCCGCCGGCCCATTACCACCTCCCCAACCACCGGCCTCCCCTAAGTTCCCTCACCACCGGCCTCCTCTAGCCTCCACTAGCCGCCGGACCCTCCACCCAATTATGTTTGAATTTTGAATTTCAAAATTCAAATCTACATTAATTACTTTCCTAATTTATCCCACTACTAATTTGGAAAGTATTAACATTTGAATTCAAATCTATATTTGAATTTCAAAAGCTTTCCC